TTTTTGGGGGGGGGGGCAAATGTTTAAGAGAGGGAGAAGAGAGAAGGCATGAGAGAGAACCTTGCTAAAATGGCTGAAGTTCTGCTTCAAGTTTCTTCTTCTGTTTCTGCATTCCATTTCTGGAATGTTAACACGTCGAAGCAATAGTTGATGATACTACATGTTCCAGTGACAGTTGAAACAATTGAATTTGCCTTTTTTGTATGCGGACTAGCTGGAGAGTGTGTTGGGGAATCTGTGTATCAAATATATTGTCCTGCCCATGCGCCCCTTTTCTTTTGTGGGATATAAATTGACCTGAATGATTGCCATTTCTGATTTGGTTGTCTTTGCACAGATGTGGTGGAGACCTTCAGACACCATAAAGAGAATCTGGGGTTCGGTTTCTAGTGGAAGAAAGGGCTACCTCCAAGACATACCAAGACCATACCAATTCTGGAATCATCCCCTAATGCTTCCCCACCCTCCAGGGCCGTCTTAATAAATAGGCACACCTGGGTACTGCTCAGGGGCCCCAGGTGCATGGGGCCCCATGATCAGGGCTAGAACAAGGGGCAAGCCAGGGTGCTGTGTTGGGGGGGGCAGGGGCGGACTGACAACTAATGGGGCCCCCGGGCAATAGGGGATCATGGGGCCCCTGTGTCCTTGCCCAAACTCAAAAAAGCCTATGAAAAGGTACCTGGGGCATCTCATGGGGCCCCCTACTGACCCCGGGCCCTCGGGCAGTGCCCGAGTTTCCAAATGGTCAGTACGCCCCTGGGGGGGGGGTAAACTAGCAGTTTGGCCACTTGTATCGATCCTCTTTGACAGGAGTAACTGCTCCTCCAGTCAGAAGAAGCAGGTGGCTGATGTTAGAGAGAGGTTTCAGCTTTTTCCTTTCTCCCGTGGGGGGCAGAGGAGAGCTGCACTGAGACTGAGAACCAGGGCTGGACTGACAACTCATGGGGCCCCCGGGCAATAGGGGATCATGGGGCCCCTGTGTCCTCACTCACACTCAAATCACACTTAAAAAAAAGCCTATGAAAAAGGTACCAGGGGCATCTCATGGGGCCCCCTACTGACCCCGGGCCCTCGGGCAGTGCCCAAGTTCCCAAATGGTCAGTCTGCCCCTGCTGAGAACTCATCTCTGTCTCAATAGGGAAGAGAAAGGAGGAGCTGCCTTCATTACAGTAGGGAACAGCATTTGTAATCTATGAGCACAAGCGGGAAGGGGGGTACAACTCTACTGTCAGAGCCACTGTATGGGGACATCTGATGTCAGGATGTCAGGGGACTCTGTGATTGGGACACCTGATGTCAGGGGACACTGTGATGGGGACACCTGATGGATGGGGACACCTAATGTAGGAAGATACTGTGATGGGGAAAACTGATGTAAGGGAGCACTGTGATGGGGACTCTGTGATGGGGGCACCTGATGTATGGGGGCACCGTGATAGGGACACCTGATGTATGGGGGCTCTGTGATAGGGACACTTGATGTATGGTGGCTCTGTGATAAGGACACCTGATGCAGGCTTCTAGGTGCCCCAATGCATTATTTTGCCCAGGGGTCTATGATGCTATTAAGAAGACACTGCCATCCACCTAGAGGCTTCCTCACTCTATTTTTTTTTTTTTAGTTTAGATGTATTCAGACTTGTCACATGACTCACAGGATCCTCTTCCTCTTCCCCCATTCTCTGGCGCTGAGTGGTCTTCATTGTTGCAGTCAACATCACTAGCTGCATTAATGTATTTGAGTGCAGGGCACTGCGGTGATGCTCCATTGGGGGTGGTAAGTCCATGATGCCCTGCACTCACAGTATGTCTTCAGTCTTCTGGATTGAATGACCTCCAGGAAGACCAAGGAAATGTGGCAGCAGAAAGGGATTTATTTAGAAGAAGCAGTTAAACTGTACATTGCATAGGGGGTTCTTTACAGTTAGAGCACAATCAGTGGTGTCAGATGGAAGTGTCGATAGTTTAAAAAAAAACCTCTTAGATGGGCATGTTAGTGAACATAATATACAGGGATATGGAAAATGGTGTTGACATAAAAACACACACACTTCCACACAGGTTGTACTGGATGGGTTAGTGTCTTTATTCAACTTTACCATCCTCCTAGATTGTAAGCTCCAAGGAGCAGGGCCCTCCTATCCCTCTTGTATTGGACTGTATTGTTGCTGTATTGTTTCCCTTTATATTGTGAAGCGCTGTCAATCATTGTCCCTTGTCATGGGTTATATAAAGACAGGTGGGGGAGACTGGAGGTTGTTGAGGAGTAGAGTGCAATCTGTAGAGTTAGTAGCTAGGATCTCCGTAGTCACAATGGGCCATAGGTCATACTGCATCATGAGTCACCAGTACCTCTTTGGGAGATGATATCCACCAAAATGGAGAAGCAGAAGCCTGAGAAATAATTCAGAATCAGATAACTTTCAAAGAGTGGTGTCTGATACCACCTTGAATGGAATGTGTTGTCACTGGAAAAAAGAAGGATATTACCATTAGTTTATTCTTCTGTTCAATTAACATCATTTGGAATAAAGCCTGAGTCCTATCTATCCAAACCAAACTGGACATTCTTTATTCTGTGCTTGGACGATGAAAATAGATATGAGGTTGCTCAACACAGTTGTGGTGACTGGCCATGAAGAAAGGACTGGGAAGTCTGGTGTCTGGTGTCCACTCTGGTGTAAAGTGATTGCTGAAGATTATAATTCATGGGCTATATCCAGGTAAAGAGAAAAAAGATCCTTGAAATACATGTAGAGGAAACCAAGGACTGAGGAAGTTGTCCTGGGGCAGTTATCATCATTTCAACTAAAGTCCAAGTCTTATTTATCCAATCCCAACTGGACATTCTTTATTCTGTGCTTGGATGATGAGGAGAGAGATGGAGGTGTTCAACACCAGAGTGGGGACCAGGGGCGGACTGACCATTTGGAAATTCGGGCACTGCCCGAGGGCCCGGGGTCAGTAGGGGGCCCCATGAGATGCCCCTGGTACCTTTTTCATAGGCTTTTTTGAGTTTGGGCAAGGACACAGAGGCCCCATGATCCCCTATTGCCCGGGGGCCCCATGAGTTGTCAGTCTGCCCCTGGTGGGGACTGTTCATGCAGTAAGGCCTGGGAAGTCTGGTGTCCACTCAAGGTGTAAAGTGATCCCAAAGATTAAACTCATGGGCTATACCTGGGTTAATGGGAAAAGGGATCCCTGAAATATGTGTAAAGGGGACCACGGACTGAGCAAGCTGCCCTGGGGAAAGGAGCTCAACTTCAGATACTGAGCCTGTGTTTAAGTGCATTTTGCTGTTGTAACTGTGGGCCTTTGGCCAAGTACAACTGGGCAGTACCCTGCAACCACCAATCCCAACCTTCTACTTGGGCATACTCTGATAACCAGACTATCCTTGCCTGACATCTGCTCCTAGATGGAATAGCAGTTGGAGTGGACCCTGGAGAAATACTGTTGGTGACTATCAAAAATGATGATGGCAATGATAATGATAGCAAAGCACATATCAAGGTTTTTTTAAACCTGTTTGAGCAGTCATTCCTCCCTTGGTCCACCCGAGCACAGACAGGAGAAACAGCTGAATTCAGTAACTGTCATCTCACATCTACAGGCCAACTTGACACCTGAATCTCATGGATATGTAATAAAGCAGTAACCCTCACAATTCATTTTTCCATCCAAGGATTCCCGTTACTTGTACATGTTTGACGTCCTGTTCTGGAAGTGTGCACATGAAAATATCCACAGCTCAAAGGTATTTTACCAGCTGTGCATGTGCAGCCAGACCAGAACATTCAGATCTGCATTTGTCTTCATGGACTTCTCAAAAGACATATTCTTGTGGAAAATGATCTAAACCAAAAAAAGCTGGGATGCTAGACTTCACCATTAATTAAAAAAGCAATTGATTTAATACAATGATTACTAAAATAGATGAAACCCCAACTGGATAGTGTTTAGTTGTCTAAAGGACTGGGAATTGTAACCATTTGCCATTTTTTTTTCCCTTTTTTTTCCTTTGTTCTCCAGCAGCATTTTCAAAGCCCCTTCCTGTCCACGTGCAATCCATCAATGGTTGCATGCCATTTCTCTGGATAGGTTTCCTGATGATGGCATTAGTGACATGCCTGGGCAATGACTGGCCACATGGCTGCTTATAGTCTCCATTTGCCATTTTTTTTTCTATTTTTTTTCTTTGTTCTCCAGCAGCATTTTCAAAGCCCCTTCCTGTCCACGTGTAATCCATCAATGGTTGCATGCCATTTCTCTGGATAGATTTCCTGATGATGGCATTAGTGACATGCCTGGGCAATGACTGGACACATGGCTGCTTATAGTCTCCATTGGAAGCAAATGTGGGAGGGTGACAATGCAGAAAAGAATTTAGAAGACACGGACAGAGCGTTCTCATCAAATCAGAAGCACCACTCAAAGCTCTGCATTATATAACCCGGTGATCCTCAGCTTTACCTCTTCCTAAAACCATGCCCCTCTGACGCAATTCACCCACTCATGAGCTTAATCATAGAGCCGGTGAAACGGTCTAGAGGTCTCGAGAGGTGAAGCGGTCTAGAGGTCTCGGGAGGTGAAACGGTCTAGAGGTCTCGGGAGGTGAACCTGTCTAGAGGTCTCGGAAGGTGAACCGGTCTAGAGGTCTCGGGAGGTGAAACGGTCTAGAGGTCTTGGGAGGTGAACCGGTCTTGAGATCTCGGGAGGTGAACCGGTCTAGAGGTCTCGGGAGGTGAAACGATCTAGAGGTTTCGGGAGGTGAAACAGTCTAGAGGTCTCGGGAGGTGAACCGGTCTTGAGGTCTCGGGAGGTGAAACGGTCTTGAGGTCTCGGGAGGTGAACCGGTCTAGAGGTCTCGGGAGGTGAAACGGTCTAGAGTTCTCGGGAGGTGAACAGGTCTAGAGGTCTCGGGAGGAGGCAAAGCTGAAGTCTTTCCAATATACTAGGAAATAGGATAGCTGTCCAGTGTGTGCTTCTATTTTTTCCTTTTCTGTAGAGCAGGGGTGTCAAACTGGCGGCCCTCCAGCTGTTGCGAAACTACAAGTCCCATCATGCCTCTGCCTTTGCGAGTCATGCTTGTAACTGTCAATCTTGCAATGCATCATGGGACTTGTAGTTTGGCAATAGTTGGAGGGCCACCAGTTTGACACGTGTGCTAAAGAGGGTAAGAGTGTTGTCACATGAAGTGCCTGAACAAGGAGCTTCGTGGTAGGATCACCAGGTATTATTTTAAAGCAGAATTCCATGCATTTGATGCACTAGGGACCACATGACCCCCTCCACAATGTCAAATGTTAAAAACGTGTTTTTTTTTTTTTTGTTTTCTTACCTTCTTTTGTTTTATTTTTAAGTTAGACCCACCTAGATGAGAATGACGTCTTATGTGCTCTGAAGCCTCACATATCCCAGGATGCGTCAGGAAGCTGGAGGTGAGTGGACCCAGCAGGGTATCATCAAGGAGCCAGGCTGCCTGAACTAGGAAGAGGCCCCCAGCACCTGAAAAAATCAGGAACAAAGATGGCAGCATGGGACCCAGACTCTGGCAGCAACACAGTGGATCACAGCAAGACAACGCTGGATCCACTGGGCAGGTGAATATGTGAATTGAGTACACTGCTGCGTGACAGGTAAGGTGAATGGGGGGAAAAAGGAGTTGTGGGGTTGGGGGCAGGGGTGGACTGACAACCCATGGGGCCCCCGGGCAATAGGGGATCATGGGGCCCCTGTGTCCTTGCCCAAACTCAAAAAAGCATATGAAAAAGGTACCTGGGGCATCTCATGGGGTCCCCTACTGACCCCAGGCCCTCTGGCAGTGCCTGAGTTTCCAAATGGTCAGTCCGCCCCTGGTTGATGGTGGGCAGATGGAAGCTCCTTTTCCCACTTCCCAACTGGGCTATAGTCAAAAGATGCCCTCTGTGGGAAGTGGAAAACCGGAGTTATGGCTTCAGCAATGTGCAATGACCCTGGTATTGTTTTTTTTTGTTAGCCGGCAATTCTCTAACCGATAAAAGTAGTCAGAGTGGCAAATTCACCGCTGGATCACTTTTAGAAGCTGCGGGAGGAGTGACACCCCCACCCCACCCCACCCCCTTACGCTTCACGGTGGTTCTTGGGCTTACCTGGATGATCGGTAGCACCAAGAACCAATCTAGCGATCGTGGCTGTCTTTCACAGAGATGAGTGGAGGAAAGATGGCTTCCACTCATCTTTATGTCCTAGAAGGATCGGAGAGACGTCATGACGTCACTTCTGGTTCTAGCCTAATGTAGACAAGGTCATTTTTTTTTTTTTAAAGCACTAGATCATTTTTATAATCTAATGCTTTACAGGGGTCTTATTGACTCCAGATCTCTCCATAAAGAGGACCTGTCACTGCTTATTTCTATCACAAGGGATGTTTACATTCCTTGTGATAGGAAAAAAAGTGATCAAAATTCTTTTCAAAGAAACAGTGTAAAAATAAAAAAAATGTAAAGAAAGTAATAAAATATATACTGTATTTTTTTTTTAAGTGCCCCCATTCCCCCTTGCTCATGCGCTGTGGTAATGCTCACATACAGTCAGGTCCATAAATATTGGAACATCAACACAATTCTAACATTTTTGGCTCTATACACCACCGCAATGGATTTGAAATGAAACGAACAAGATGTGGTTTAACTGCAGACTGTCAGCTTTAATTTGAGGGTATTTACATCCAAATCAGGTGAACGGTGTAGGAATTACAACAGTTTGCATATGTGCCTCCCACTTGTTAAGGGTCCAAAAGTAATGGGACAGAATAATAATCATAACTCAAACTTTCACTTTTTAATACTTGGTTGCAAATCTTTTGCAGTCAATTACAGCCTGAAGTCTGGAACGCATAGACATCACCAGACGTTGGGTTTCATCCCTGGTGATGCTCTGCCAGGCCTCTACTGCAACTGTCTTCAGTTCCTGCTTGTTCTTGGGGCATTTTCCCTTCAGTTTGGTCTTCAGCAAGTGAAATGCATGCTCAATCGGATTCAGGTCAGGTGATTGACTTGGCCATTGCAGAACATTCCACTTCTTTCCCTTAAACTCTTTGGTTGCTTTTGCAGTATGCTTTGGGTCATTGTCCATCTGCACCGTGAAGCGGCGTCCAATGAGTTGTGAAGCATTTGGCTGAATATGAGCAGATAATATTGCCCGAAACACTTCAGAATTCATCCGGCTGCTTCTGTCAGCAGTCACATCATCAATAAATACAAGAGAACCAGTTCCATTGGCAGCCATACATGCCCACGCCATGACACTACCACCACCATGCTTCACTGATGAGGTGGTATGCTTAGGATCATGAGCAGTTCCTTTCCTTCTCCATACTCTTCTCTTCCCATCACTCTGGTACAAGTTGATCTCGGTCTCATCTGTCCATAGGATGTTGTTCCAGAACTGTGAAGGCTTTTTTAGATGTCGTTTGGCAAACTCTAATCTGGCCTTCCTGTTTTTGAGGCTCACCAATGGTTTCCATCTTGTGGTGAACCCTCTGTATTCACTCTGGTGAAGTCTTCTCTTGATTGTTGACTTTGACACACATACACCTACCTCCTGGAGAGTGTTCTTGATCTGGCCAACTGTTGTGAAGGGTGTTTTCTTCACCAGGGAAAGAATTCTTCGCTCATCCACCACAGTTGTTTTTCCGTGGTCTTCCGGGTCTTTTGGTGTTGCTGAGCTCACCGATGCGTTCCTTCTTTTTAAGAATGTTCCAAACAGTTGTTTTGGCCACGCCTAATGTTTTTGCTATCTCTCTGATGGGTTTGTTTTGTTTTTTCAGCCTAATGATGGCTTGCTTCACTGATAGTGACAGCTCTTTGGATCTCATCTTGAGAGTTGACAGCAACAGATTCAAAATGCAAATAGCACACTTGAAATGAACTCTGGACCTTTTATCTGCTCATTGTAATTGGGATAAACGAGGGATATAACACACATCTAGCCATGGAACAGCTGAGAAGCCAATTGTCCCATTGCTTTTGGTCCCTTAACAAGTGGGAGGCACATATGCAAACTGTTGGAATGCCTACACCGTTCACCTGATTTGGATGTAAATACCCTCAAATTAAAGCTGACAGTCTGCAGTTAAAACACATCTTGTTCGTTTAACAAATCCATTGTGGTGGTGTATAGAGCCAAAAATGTTAGAATTGTGTCGATGTCCCAATATTTATGGACCTGACTGTATGTAAACTCCACACATGTGAGGTATCGCCGCAAACATCAGCATGAGAGCAATAATTATAGCACTAGATCTCCTCTGTAACTCTAAATTGGTAACCTGTAGAAATTTTTAAAGCGCCTCCTATGGAGATTTTTAAGTATCATGGTTTGGAGCATTCCAGGAGCTTGCACACTTTTAAAGCATGACATGTTGGGTATCTATTTACTCATCTTTCATCAAAAAATGGGTTATATATAGTTATATAATATATATAAAAAAAATATATAATTTTTTTATTCATTAAAATGTTTTTGTTTTTATTTAAATGCATTTAAAAAATTACTGCGCAAATACCATGTCACATAAAAAATTGCAAGGACCACTATTTTATTCTCTAGGGCCTCTTCTAAAAAAATATATATATAATTTTTAGGGATACTAAGCAATTTTCTAGCAAAGAAACACTGATGTTAACATTTATGAGAGAAGTGGCCCAATAAGGAAGTGGTTTATGAAATCCATAGATTTAAAAATATTGAGAATTATCTTTTCAATTCGGTTTGGCCTCGATGGCACTATCAAATAGTTCTCGCCAGCTATTTTGCTGATCTTAGGATTGCTGCTATGGATTATTCAATTCAATGACATTCATTATTAATAGGCTCTGACTCTTATACAAAACTATTTCATATTATTGTCAAGTTGAGTCAATGACGAATGTGGAGTAACCCCGGCTAATTCGCCGGAAGATTGGATCGGCTTTAATTCTGTTTGACAGGAGCCCATAATCATCTAGACTTTGTGAAAATCCATTAAACTTACATTTAGGACCTCGATGAACATAACATTTTGGACGATTATTGTACATCTTTTGAAGTATAATTGTCCTCTCTTCTTTCTAATAAATCTTTAAATTTACCAGGGTAGCTACAATGAATAGCCTGGGTTATTTAGGAATATCGTTTTATTGGTAAGCTTCTCTAAACTACTTATGAAGGAAAAAAAAGAGCTGGACCTATACAGAGTTTGGGATCCCTAGAGGTGATCCTTGATATGATGTTCTTCAAAGGGATCCCGTGGGTAGATGAGGGTGAAGGGAAGGGTAGTCCAGATGGGGACTCTGCTGCTGCTCCACAAGGCAACTGTAGATGAAACAGGAGGCGCAATTGATATGCAGGGACGAGAGAGCCAACGAGTTTTAGGGGAAAAGCATCCCCCCTTCATCAGGGCTGAAGTGGTGGATAAATAGACAACTGGCCTGGAACTGGAGACGAGTTGTTGCCGGATCTCTTGTGAGGCTGTAGGAAATAGAAAAGAGTCAGAAAAAGCTGGACAGTTGTTTATTCACCTGCCACCTCAGACAAGGCTGAGTTGGCAGTGAATAAACAACTCTCTAGCTTTTTCTAGCTCAAATGGAGCCAACGAGTTTTGGGGGGATCAAGACGAAGGGAGTGCTTTCCTGCAAAACTCGTTGGCTCTATTTGTACCCTGTGAACTGCGACCTTCAATAAAATATAATTCAAACTTGAAGTGTGACATCTCTGCTTTTCGATCTCACCTCCTATTTCATCCCGACCAAGGTACTTACAGAAATTGCCCCAATTGCCCCCCCCCCCCCCCCAAAACAATATTTTATGATTTCCTTTATACATACCTTTTCCAAAGTCTTCAGGCCCAACATGTGAGGATGCAAGTATAGGAACATAAAAAAACAGAGAAGAATGATGGAAAAAAAAAAAACCCAAAGTGGTTAATCAAGTCCATTTTACTTTAATTTATTTCGTTTTTTTTTTTTTTTAATTTAATTTTTTTTAAACTTTTTGTCTGAGTATAGATCTATTTGTCCCTATTTGTTGACTGACTCGCTACCTCTGCTGGAAGTCTATTGGAAACATCAACTACCTTTTTGTAAATTAATACCTTCTAAGGTTAGTTTTGAACTTTCCTCCTGCTAGTTTGAGGTCACGTCC